GTCCACATTCCCAGGCAGCAACAACTAACCATGTATCTGGTCTCATCCTGAAATCTAGATGACCAATGGAAGAACCCTATGGCAGTTCAAAGCACTTGCTGACAATGGAAGAATCTCTGATAGAGTTCAAAGCACTGGATGACAGCGGAAGAACCTATAACAGAGTTCAAAATGCAGGTTGGTCATGAAAAATGGCTCATGTACCTCTTCTGACAAAATGAGTTTACTTTTCTGAGCCTTGGGCAAAGAGCTAGGAGTCGGCTATACTCAAATTCTTTCCAGTGCAAACTCTGTGGCTGTAAGGTCTGTTTTCCACTGGGCTAGCTGGGTGGCTAACATCAACTGAGGTGATATGGAGGTGGCTGAGGGAAAGGCTCCTTTCATGAGGACAGGTCTGTTCCAGAGAAACATTGAGGTTGAAGGAGACTACTGTGTTCACCAACCATGCAACGATCCTCCTTGCCCACCCAAAGAACAAATTGAATGTGGCAATTTCATTTTTTTAGTTGTTTTAAATACTGTAACAAACTGTTTTTCTTTTTGGGGTGCCAGGGATGAAATGTAAGGTTATGTTCTATGCCATTAGCTATATCCCCAGTCCCAGAACAATTTTTAAAAGCAAAGTAACAATAGGGAATGGTTAGCCAGAACTGTGAAAATCCATCATGGAAATAGCCATCTTCCAATTGACAGAAACTCAATTATCAACCAGTTCTGGGATAGTGAGTATGCTATTAAAGCCCAATATGGTGTTTAGATAAAGATGTACTCTACGACATCATCTAATCCTAAAATTGCTGAAATCCATTAGCAGCAGCCAGGATCAAGATCACAAAAGACTATACAGAGTATTTTGAAATATGAATATTTAGTAAAAATACATAAATATAAATAGTGTGTGCATTAGTGAGGTAGACTGTTCTGCTTGGTTTAGCACATAAAGACCTCTATTTTCATGAGAATTCAATGAGATAAATAGTATTTATTTTCTACTCTCATCATTGCGGACTAGTTAAAACCTTTGCTGTACTTCTGTTTACATAGCTTGTGTAAATTACCTCACATGCAGAGAGACAACACAGTTGGAAACCAGTCAGCCCCTAAACTAAAAAATGAATTGGAATTACTGCTTTTGAATTCCATGCTCAAACGCTCCCACAGATAACATGCTAGTAAAGCGAGTGTGTGACTGCTCCTTCTAAATATAATAATGGGGGCTCATTTAAGATGATGTCAGTATTTGCACAGTAAATCCGTACATTCAGGCTTTGTCTACTGGGTTTTAAAACACCTTCTGGAAAAACACAGGCAAGCTTTTATTGATAGCAAATGCTTTTGAAATGTTCACAACAGAAAGATGCAGAATAGAAAATGTTTAGTTATTAAACAGTTCAAAGTACACTGTAATTTCAAAAAGAAAGCTTTTCCTTTGTGTGTATGTCCTTTAACAAATAAAAATTTCAAAATCTGGAAATGATAAACTATCATAACTAGTTACATGAACAGATAAAACTTAAAAATACCATGTATTATCTTTACAGAAAATACCTGTTTGCACTCACATTGGTGTATCTGTGTTCTATTAAAGTATGAACACACCCACTACCTCATGAGATAAACAAATCACACAATGAATGTATTTTGTTACAGGTAGTCCAATTAAAAGTTACTTATTCAAACAAAATACACTAAACTGACAATCATGGTACAATTTAAAGATTTTCATTCCATTAGTATCTGATCTCCTTAACTCTCAAACCAAGGTTCAAATATAAAAATTCAATTTTACTAATTTATACTAATATTAACTTTCAAAGTAATAATGTCTTGAAACCAATACATCAGAATGGTAGACAACATTTAATTTCTCTTTCTTCTGTGTGTGTGTAGTGTGTGCAGAGAATTCATATAGGGAAGCAAGTGTGTGTGCCTGCGTGTGTGAATGTGAGGGTCAGAAGAAGACAACAGATACGTCCACTGTTCTTCACCTTATTTCTTTATGGCGGAGTCTCCGAAAACACTGGAAGCTTGCTGTTTCAGCTACACTGGCTGGCCCACCTGCTCCCAGGATCTGCAGGACTCTGCACCTCAACAATGAGGTTACAGGATTGCAAATCCATGCCCAGTTTCTTAGTGTTTCAGGTCTTATGAAATCCAGTCCTTCCATTCACAGAGTAAATGTTCTTATATACTGAGCCATCTCTTCAGCTTCATGGTTATATTATTACAACCATCATTATCACCATCATCATCACCACTACCATTACCACCATCAACATCATCATTGTCACCATCATCATCATCATCGCCACCACCATCATCGTCATCATCACCACCATCATCACCATCATCATCACCATCATCATCATCAATAGAGGATCTTACTAAGTGGCTCTGGCTGGCCTGGACCTTACTAAGTAGATCAGGCTGGCCTCAAACTGACAGATATCTGCTATCCTCTACCTCCTAAATGCTGGAATTGAAAATGTAAGTTATCATGCCCAGTTTCATGGTTTTATTTTAATATTCACATTAAACATATTGCTCATTTTAGGTGTCAGAAATATTCATCTTCGTTGTATCTATCTTCATTATGTATCTTCATTATTCACATGTTAAATATAATAGTTTTATATTTTTTTGATTCACTTACAGTTGTCTTTTCCCACAAGAGAAACATTTCAGTATGTGTGTCTTCATGAGTACATAGACCTAAATTCAGACTAAGTTATTATTCACATGTGAGCTGCTGCTGTGTAACATTGAAGGGGGGATGACTCGATTTCAGAAGTGGAGTCCTTTCTTGTAAGCTACAGGAAAGTGCCTATTCTTTGCTACCACAGTTCTAAAACCTAAAATTTATAGAATGAATAAACTTACACTTTTACTTTCTAGCTCAGGAAGACTCAAAGCCACTTTATATCACAAACACATAGCACCAGGGCTGGAGAGATGGCCAGGCAGGTAAGAGCACTGGCTGCTCTTGCAGAGGACCTGGGTTTGGTTGCTTGCACCACATGGTGGTTCACAACCATCTGTAACTCTAGTTCCAGGGGATCCAGTGCCTTCTTCTGGTCTCCACAAGCACTAGGCACATCCATAGTGTACAGACATACATGAAGCACTCACACAAACATGTAAAGACTATACTGAATTACCTCATAAAGGCACTAATGCTTTATAAGATGCATATTATATACAAACTCACAATATCAATTAAATATCCACTATTTCCTAATTCCTGACTTGAAGAAAACACTGCAATATGTCTTTTACTAGGATAGCACATGCTTCAACTTAAGAACTGAAGAACAGGCCTTTCGCAGAAGGAAGGCAGTGTATGGACAGACTACTGAGACAACTATCTTAGATGGTTAGGGGTTAGGGGGTGGGGTGGGTGTAGTTCTTTGCCGTGCACACATGAGGACGTGAGTTTGACTTTACCCACAAACAAGCCAGGCATAAGCAGATGCCTGGGACTGACTGTTTAGTCAGTGAGGTTGGGGTCCATTGAGAAGCCCTGTCTCAGAAAACAAGGTGGTGCCAGAGAGATGGCTCAACAGCTAAGGGCACACACTTCTTCCAGAGGACCAAGGTAGGTTCCGAGGCCCTATGTAATGGCTCCCAACTCTAGGGGATCTGATGTCCTTGTCTGTGTTACAATCACATCACACTCCCCATCTATACACACAGTTAAAAATAAATAAAATGCTTTTGAACAAAAGGTTGATAGCTCCTGAGAAACAACACCCAAGGTTGATCTCTGGCTCCAGACACACACAAAAGCACATGCAACGGCATACCCATGAACAAGCATCCTCTGCACACACAAGTGATAGCATGTCCTCAATTCCGTTACTCCTTCCTCTAAACAGAAAGCAGTATAACATTCTTTTCAAATAGCTAAAACAAAGGACAATACAGTTCTGACAATGAAAGAGGATGTTATAAAGCTTTGATCTTAATATAATTCCAGCTTGGTCTACAAATGAGTCCCAAGGCAGCCATGTCCATGTCCATGTATGTCGGTTTAATTGACAATCCATTTTTTCCTCTTGCATTCACTTATGCTAAAATAGCCACTATCCTTATGTTTCAAACATAACTTTTCTATTCTATGTATTGATTTTTTTTGTAAATGACTCAGATATTTTGAAGAGAGCTTTAACACAGAAAGATAAGAATTTACCACATGTGGGATACAGAATGGTAAGAATTTACAGTGTGCTGAATATGGTGGTGTACACCTTTAATACCAGCTCTGGTGAGACAGAGGCAAGCTTATCTCTGAGTTTGAGGCTAGCCAATGTGACACAGTAAGACCATGCTACATATAAACTTATAAAGTTGATTTTATGCTTTTCAAATTAAAAATGTAATAAGTGACTTGTTTAATCACTTCATACTCATTATCTGATTGATTTATTTTTGTTAAGTCCATTTTATAGATGACATAACTCAGACTAAGGAAGGTAACTCATAGACATGAAATGACATAATCAGTTCAAATCTAGACTGACTTTAAATATATACACCTAAGTACCATGATTTGAGAAATGTAGATCTCAAACTTAGGCCTGCCATTGCACCTGTCCTGGAAGCTGGCATTCTGGAGCCCACCTGGTACCAAGCAAGCTCACCTCCCTAGTGTCATGTGACCCACTGCTTTTGAGAAGCACAAGCCAGCCATTCCCTGAGGCCTCCAGTAAGACAGCATAGAAAACTGCCTGGCCCTCGAGGCTCAGAGCTTTAAAGTGAACTGTGGAGTGCGGGGGCATGCTCTAGGGAGGATTTGGGTGGTAGGGAGGACTTCATAGCACACTCTGGGGTTTTTCACTCAAGTGAACATAAACTGTCAGAGAAGTCAATGTAGCCTAGATGCAAAGGCTTGGCAGTGGGAATCAGACTTGTGGATGGTTTAATAACCCTTCTTTGCTTTAAGACACAACCTTAGGTATTTTAATTCACTTTATCTCTCAGACACACACAGAATTACTAACCTTCTACATTCATGGCTTCTCTCAGAACCTGAAGTTTCTTTTGCCTCTCTCGAATTCGGTCCAAAGCACTTGATACTGCAGAGGAAGTTGGTGTTTCCCGAGTGTGATACATTGGCTCCACTTTCTGAGGGCCAAAGACATCCAAGGCAATGCTTCCATCAGAGTACCTGGCCTCTTTCTTTCTGGGAGTGGTTGAAGTCCGTCCTGTTACAGCCTCAGGGTCATAGAGCCTGCCAGTCTCTCGGGGAAAGTCCCTGTCAGTCATACAAAGCAAGTCCATGGACGAAGCCCAGACCTTCTTCTTGGAGAGTGCGTCAATTCCGGGGACCTTTTTTTGTGGACTGCTAGTTTTGAACTGGTAAGGGGAGGAGACAGTCCCAGAATCTTCAAGCCTGGAGTTATTATCAGATGGGATATCCTTGAAACAATCTTCCTCATCTTGTGTGTCTCTGATGGACAGAAATCCCATAGACTTACTAAGCCCTTTGTTAAGAAAAGTCTGATGAGAGAATGGAGCCTTGTGTGTGTCTAGAACATCAGAAGTGGAACTTCTTCCTGGAATGATAAGAATCTATCAGGTATGTGCAGAATCTTTAGAAAATCAGCTAGAATGTAACCCACTACTGATAGAGAAAGTGCCGCCGGCTCCCTAAATTATCCACGTGGAGGACCAGAGGGGAAATGACGACGGTAATTGTGAGAGTGGAAGCAGAGTGTATAAATTCTTGACTCCAACGTCTCTTCTTTTGCTTTGCTTTGGCATTACTGGGGATTGAAACTAGGCCCTCGTGCATGCAAGAACTCTGCCACTGAGCTATGCCTGCATCACAACGCCTCATACAAACACCGAAAATAATACATTGAACATACACTTTTGAGTAGTATTATTTCAGTCCTCAGAAACAAAGTACTTGGTTTCAAAGTGAAGATAAAAGTTGTTAATAGCATCTAATTTTGTAGAACAGTAATTACTCATGAAATTATTGGGGATAATATAATCTATACTATAGATTAACTATAGATTAAACTATAGATTAACTATAGTTTAATCTATAACTATAGATTAAAACTACATTTTAACTTCTAAAAATGTAACTTGAAGCATGTTTCAAAGGTAAAAATTCCTGGCACATTCTTATCCTTTAAATAAATATTTAATTGAAGAAACAGAATTCTTTTTTTTCTATCTCAAAATATTTATTATATTTATTATAATTCTTTTGCATACATACCCAATAGCAATACTGCTGAATCATATAGAAGTTTTGCAAAAAATAATCTTCCTATTGTGGTTGTGTCACTCTACATTCTCAATAGTAGACAGATTATTCCATGTCTATCCTAGCATTTATCTTTTAGAAAATAATATCCCTTAATATATGTGAAGTGATATACATTATTATCTTTCATCTATTTCTCCCTGATGATTAAAGATAGTGAATCCCTTTTCATATATTTGCTGAGAAACAGAATTATTTGTATTCTGCAAAGGAAAAAATTTTAACACTTGGAATTATCAAGTTCAAGATTGTACTATAACTAGATATATTTTCAGAAAATTTTACCATGTCTGAAACCCAGATAATTTCTATCTAAATTGCTAATGATACCCAAGTTTTCATGATAGACTATTATAGAGACTAAAATTTCTTCCCTTAGAAATTTTATAAGGAAAAGACAAAAGAGGAATTCTGAACCAGATACTCGAGTAAAGCCAACATTTGGAAACACATTAGAGGATTAGGAAAAAGCAAGAGTAAGCAGGGGTAAGCAGCTGTAGCAGAGGAGCCAGGTGCGAAGGAGAAAGGGAGCCTCACTTTTTGCTAGCTACAACCCCTATTTTAGCTCTGTATTTACAGTTCAATAGAATTAGAGCCAGGTATTTATTCTGCTGGTTTTTAAAGTTTTATGAAGACATATCAGAAATGTCCATTTGGTTATATTAATTCTATGAATCAACAGACTCAACACACAAAATGGTATTTGTCCAGTACTGAAAAAAAATGTGGGAAATATTTTGAAGTTGCTACCTCAGTAGCCCTAAACACTGACAACTTTCCTGGTATATTATGTGACCTCCCTTTGAAAACAAACATGCTGTATAATATGACTGGATTCTTCTTAGTAACAAGAAATTGCTTACAAATTCATCTGAATCTACCAGTTGTCACCTTGAAGTAACACAAATATAGTCTAATCTTTCTCAAAGGACAAACAACCAAGACCAACTCCTCCCATTACATGTTCTTTTAGCTACTGTCTTTCCAGTGCCTCCCTTTCCACTCATTATTTCCCTGCTTTGGTCAGGCTCCAGCTAGCTACTCTGCACCTGGGTGGCTTCCCCATGGCCAAGCTCAGTGACTCTGCTCCAGGTGAAGGTCTGTCAGGGGCTCCCTTTCTCCTTTGCACCTGGCTCCCCTGCTATGGCTGCTTACCCCTTCTTACTCTTGCTTTTTCCTAATCCTTTAATGTGTTTCCAAATGTTGGCTTTACTCAAGTATCAGGTTCAGAATTCCTCTTTTGTCTTTCCCTTATAAAATTTTATTAAGAGCATTTTAAATATTATCTGGATTTGAGAACCACCCCAGTTCACTTTCTTAACAACATCTTTCTGAGGAAGCTCCAGTCTTACACAACTGAACTTCTGTGTGCCTCAGGAGCACCTCTGACTATTCAAGGTTCACTCATCTTGTGTTTTCTGCTCCTGGAGTGACCCATTGCTTTCCAGTCTTTCCTAAGACTGTGAGTGGCACTATTGCCCAACTGATTACTCAAAATGGAACTATGGGCACTGTCCTTAAATGACTCATCTTCCTTACCTCCATCGGCAATTACTGTTTAAATTTGTCAAAGACACCTTGCTTCATGTGTTAATATCCAATTCCTCTGCCATTGCATCATGCCCAATTAATGATGTTGATTGGCTAGATCACTGTTGTGACCCTTAGATTAGCTGCTTCTATCAACTCCTTTTAACACCCAGAATTATCTTCTTACAATGTAAATTCCATCATGTCACTGACCTGTTCAATGAATCATAGACAGCCTATCACTCATGAAATGGAAACCTTCAGGTCTGTCACTTGAATTCTTTACATCTGATATCTATTTCCTAATTTTATCTAAGCCATAGGCTTTTTTAAGTAATGAGTTCTTATACATAAAAATATACTTTTCTGTCTCTTCTTTTCCAGATCTTTCTCATGTCCAGTTTCTTTTCATGTTCATTTTCTTTGCATTCAGCTGCTTTATTTTAATCTTTTTAAAAAATTGATTAACTTATTTATGTGCTTGGGTGTTTTGCCTGTATGTATGTATGAACATCATGTGTGTGCAGTGCCTACAGAGGCCAGAAGAGGTGCTGGATCACCTGAGACTGGAGTTATCAAAGGTTGTAAGCCACAACAGGGGTGCTGGGAATTGAACTCAGGTCCTCTGGAAGAAGCCAGTGCTCTAACTACTGAGCCACCTCTCTAGGCTTCGCATGGTTTTACTTTAAATAGGACTTCCTCAAAGCAGTCAGCCCTCTGTCATCATAATACAAGCAAAACACTTAACAGATGCACTGCTGTCTCTTGGCCTTGTAGGAGGTTAAGTGCATGTCTACATTAGAGCATCAGACAGTTAGTGTTTACTAACAGTACATTAATTTGTCACGGTATCTCCAGAAGCATGTCTTTGCCCGGGCCACACAGGACTAAAGGAACATCGAACTACACGGATTTCAGGAAGCTGCTGATTTACAGGCAGGGCTCTATGGTTGTGATACAGAAATATTTCAGAATACATCTACCAAAGTCAAGAAGTTAAGACCTACATAGGTTATCTTTTAAGACCCTGTCTCAAATAAATAAAAAGTGGGGCTGGTGAGATGGCTCAGTGGTTAAGAGCACTTGCTGCTCTTGCAGAAAACCTGGGTTCAGTTTGCAGTCCCTACCTGGTGGCTCACAACTGTCTATCACTCTGTTCTGGCCTCTGCAGGCACTACACACATGTGATATGTACATATATATATGTATATATATATATATACATATGTGTGTGTGAGCAAAACGTTCATGCACATAAGAAGACAACAGTAGAAGAAGGGACTATGAGGGAGGCAATGGGAAAGGAGGGGGCACCAACTAGGGATGGAAAGGGAAGAGTGATGTAAGACAGGAAAGGAGAGATAAATAACATTATGAGGATTTAAAACACGCAGAAAAATACTGTATAAGCTTACTTAAAATATGTGTATGCATGTATATACTTGTGTATATACATACATACACACATAAATATATGTTTTATGGAGTTATGTCACAGGGGGTCGTGGTGCCCCTCCACCAAAGAGCTATGTAACAAAAATTCCATCATCAGGCATGAATTATTGTTTGAGGGAATACGCGAGTCTCCTAAAACAATATAAGCTATTGTCACTGCCCTTTGTTTCCTTCCAAAAGTTGAAAGTAAGGTCCTATTGCTGAAGACACCACACATTTCAGACACAGGACCTGGAGAAATAAAACTGAACGTGACCTAGGAAGTCCCTCTGAGGACCGGCTTTTACAGTATGGGAAGATGCTATGCAACCTGCCTGGGAAGAGCAGAAAACCTACAGACAAAAGCCTACTGTATAAAGCCTATGAACCTGGCAACTTATCTCCAAAGGTGCAACAGTGGCACTTTCACTGAAGGTAAGCAACAACTGATTGAACTTAAGGCCTGCTTGATGGGAGGGATTCATGCCTGGTACTATAGACAAAGCCAACCACACATGACTGGAGAGGTCATAAACCCTAGAAGAAAACTTACTACTGCCATCTCCTTAAACTTACGCAATTTCAAACTGTAGTCTAAATACTGATTCTTACATTCAGAGGTAAGCGTAGTGCAGCCATCCTCACCCCTCATCGAAGAAGCTTCCTTTATAACAAACCGAAACCACTACAGGGTCCACAGCTGCTCAAGATGCAGAGACTAAGTGTGTCTCTGAGGTGCTCAAGCCCAACCAGTATTGACAATGCAACCCTTAAACCTAAGGCGCAGGAAACATTACAAATGAGGGAGCAGAAATGTTTTAAGAGCCCGGGACCAGGATGCCTACTGCTAGACTAGATAGCACCTGCTAGACAAAATAAGAAATTGAACCAATGAACTCCCAATTATATAGTTGCTTGAACAATTTTGGTATAATGACATCACCAACTGACATATCAACATGGACAATGGGAATTTCACAAATCCTGTCACTCAGTGAAGAACTAACTACAGGTGGTCAATGGGTGATGAGGGGAAAAGTCAGTTTCCTCCAGTGACAAGTTCCCAAAGTTTTCCAATTACAGGTGGTATGTCCTGACATATGAAGACTAAAGGGACTCAATAGATTGTGTGTGTGCACATACGCACATAGCTGTATATATGTAACAATAATTAGAAGAGGTCATAAATTTGGGAGAGGAAGGCAGGAATGAGCTAGAAGCAATGCTCATGTATGAAGTTCTCAAATTAAATGAAAAGCACATTCATACAAATAAAATAAAAACAAATCTTCAAAAGAAAGCAAGAAAATA